CATGCCCCACGAGTTCACTGACAATCTTCGTCTGCTGGTCGCGGGACTGGTTGATCGCCTCCAGGCGCTCGAGCCGCTCGGTGGCAGCCGAAAGCTGCGACTCGAGCGCGGGCAGGCGTGCGTGGGCCGCTCCAGCAGTGGCGTGGCCTGGGCGGAGCCTGCGCTCCCTCTCGGTCTTGCAAGACTGAGCGAGCTGGATGTTGTTGGTCTTGGTTCCCAACTGCTCCATGCTCTGCAATTCCTGCTCGCTGAAGCCACTGAGGTCGGGGCCGCCGCCGCAGCCGCCTCCGCCTCGAGCCTGCCACGCTGGCAGATGATGTCCAGCGGCAGGCGGGATACCTCCAGCAGGAATGTGAGGCACAAGCAGCCCAGGAGGAACAAATGGCGCGCACAGCCTGTCGCCCCCCACGGTGGAGCTGCTTGGCGGGCTCTCCGACTGCGGCACGAAGCTCTCACCTTCCACCCTGGGGACGCCGCAGTGCTTGCACCACGTCCACTCGCCCTTCTTGCCGCAACCGCACTGGCACCTCCAATTGGTTGGTGGCTGAGCGGCTCTGCCTTTGCCGAGGCCCTTCCAGCCTGCTGCCGCCGCCGCACCACCGCCTCCGATGGACCAGCCCGCGTACGCCATGACTGTACAAACGTGCAAGCTGGAGAAGCTGAAATATTCCCGCCGACGAACCTTTGACGGTCCAGGGATGGCGGTGCGTGCTGGCCCTGCGCCAAGGGAGGTTCGATCCGAAACAGTTTTGAGCCAAATGCTTGAGCCAGCTACGGGCTCCACCTCCTCGTCCTCATCCTCCTTTTCCTCCTCCTCCTCCTCCTCCTCCTCTTCCTCGTCCTCCTCCTCCTCGTCCTCCTCCTCCTCCTTTCATCCTGCCTTCTCCTTAGGCGTCCTGCCTCCTCTTGGGGCATCGTGGGGCCTCCTGGAGAACCCTGGGCCTCCTAGGGCATTCCTCCTCCTCCTCCTCCTCCTCCTCCTCCTCCTCCTCCTCCTCCTCCTCCTGGCCAAAAAATGACGACATGTGCATGAGGCGGGTGACCCGATCGGATTACTCATATGAAGTGCGGGCCCCATAAAGAGGGCCCCCCCGCCTGAGACGTCCTCGCAATTCACTCACACACGAGGTTCCCGCCTGATACGTCCTCAAAATGAAGCGCGCGTGTGTGAGTGATGATGCGGATGCTGATATGACTGATGATGACGATGTGCGTGGTGATGGTGACGCGTGGGGTGTGAATGGTGATGGTGATGATGACGATACAAGTGGTGGTGATGATGCTGATGGTGATGAGCGTGGTGGTGACGATGGTGAGTGATTGATTGTATGATGGTGAAACTTATGCAATGAAATATGACGAGGTTGATGGTGTGATGATGGCGATATCTGTGATTCGTAAAGTGAATGAGCGTGGAAAACGGAGAAAGGATGATGAGGTTTGCGTCGGCTCATTGAGTGAGTGAGCGAAGACGATGATGATGTTGGCGATGTGTTTGATCGAGTGGGTGGTAGGTGGTGGGCGAGTGAATAATTAAAAAGGAGTGATGATGTTGAGTGAATGTGGGTGTGTCAGCGAGCGGGTGTAAGTGATGATGATGATGTGGTGGTGATGACGATGAGGATGTGAATGTGCGCGTGTGTGACTGAGCGGGCGTGTATGTAGTGAATGAGTGCGTGAGAAGAAACGGGGTGTTCCTTCCAATTCCGGTGGTCCTGCGCGGGATATCCACAGAAACCTTTGGATGTGGGGAATCACGGAAACACGAACCAAAAACAGGAAACTTGACGGTACTGTTGGCACAGATAACGACAATGAACGATAGTAGGCAAACCCGGCACGACTCCAATCCGGAGAATGTGCGAAAACAACACGACAGAGGAATTCCATACCAAAAAACTGAACAATCAATAGCAAAGGCCCCCAAAAAACCAAGGAGAAATCTACTTCGGGAACCAAGGTTGATTTCGAGGACTTGGTCCTCACCGCCGCGAATGCGGCCAGCGGCTCGCAAGGCAGGGGGGCGACAGCAACCATCGTCCTTTCACAAGGCCAGGAGCTCTCGCGCGTTGAAACTACGCGGCCGAAGACTCGCGCAACTGACGAGGCCAGGGGCTCCCGTCGTGAACAGAAATATTTGTTTGGGGAAAAAATGCGTGGCCAGAGGCTCACGTGGCTGGCGAAGCCGGGGACTCTCGCCGTCGATTGAACTATAAAAAAAATTGCACGACCTGAGGCTCGCACAGCTGACGAGGCCAAGAGTTATCGCCGCCGCTGGGTGTATCACGCGGAATTCCTACGCGGCCAGAGGCTCGCGTAGCTGACGAAGGCAGGAACTCTCGCCGCTTTAATGCGCAACCTGCAACCCTGCGCGGCCAGCGGCTCGCGCAGCACTCGTCGTCGCTCGAGAATTCCCCCCTCCTCCTTCTCCTCTTCCTCCTCCTCTTCTTCGTCAACATCATCATCATCACCATCATGTGCATACTCCTCTTAATCCCCCTGCCCTCCCTCATCTATATTCCTCCTTTTCTTTCTCCTCCTCCTCCTCTTCCTTCGAATGAAAATGGTTGCCCCCCTCTTTGCTCCTACGCTTCCCTGATCACCTCTGCTCGCCTGGATACCCTTTTCCGCGCGGGGGAAAACTGGGATCCAAAAAAACACCTCCCGGGACCAAAAATCTCATCCGATGATGGTTTACCAACCCCCAGCCCGAACGCAAGGGGCTACCCCTGCGCCCGATTCGGCCGCCGATGGGTTCACACCGGCGGCTCGGAGACAAGGGGTTACCCGCGCCACTTGCTCAACCAAGGAGGGGTTACCACCTCCCGCCTGGACGCAAGAGTCTCCTCCTGAGCCCGACGCGGCCGCCGATGGGTTACAACCGGCGGCCCGGAGATAAGGGATTACCCCTGCCTCCGATTCGGCCGAAAATGGGTTACGCCCCCCGGCCCGGACACAGGAGGTTACCCCTGCGCACGATTCGGCCGCCGATGGGTTACCACCGGCGGTCTAGAGACGAGGGGTTGCCCTTGTCCCCGATTCGGGCGTGGACGGGGTACCCCCCCCCCCCCCCGGCCCGGACACAGGAGGTTACCCCTGCGCACGAGTCGGCCGCCAATGGGTTACCACTGGCGGTCTAGAGACGAAGGGTTGCCCTTGTCCCCGATTCGGGCGTGGGCGGGGTACCACCCCCGGCCCGGACACAAGAGATTACCCCTGCGCCTGGCCGCTGTCTCGTCGTCGTCGCCAGCTCAACAATCGCCCTTGTGTCCTACGTTCTTTCGGGCACGCGGGCCCATGACAGTAACAAAATTTGCTGATGACCAGCTCATTCACTCACAGAAGAGGCTCCCGCCTCGCACTTCCCAAATATGCAGGCCTCAGGAATCTAAAAATGACGACAGGCACAGGTTTCCGATGACCCGCTCGGATTAGCAACATGATCTGCGGGCCACATAGAGGGGGCTCTCGCCTGAGACTTCCTCGCAATTCACTCACAAACGAGGCTCCCGCCTGACACTTCCCCCATACGCAGGCCTTCGGAGCCCAAACGTGTTGACAATTACAAGTATCCGATGACCCGCTCAGATTACTCACTGGATCTGCGGGCCACACTGGCCCCACGAGCCCAAAAATGACGACAGGTACAAGGTTCCGATGACCCGCTCGGATTACTCACATGATCTGCGGATCCCATGAGGAGGAGGCTCCCGCCTGAGACTTCCTCGCAATTCACTCACAGACGAAACTCCCGCCCGTTACTTCCTCCGTCTTCAAGCCGCAGGAGCCCAAAAGCGACGACAATTAAACGGTTCCGATGACCCGCTCGGATTGGCAACATGATCTGCGGGCCCCATATGGAGAGGGCTCCCGCCTGAGACTTTCTCACCAATCACTCACAGACGAGGCTCCCGCCTGATATTTCCCCCGTACTCAGGCCTCAGGAGCCCACAAGTGACGACAATTACACGGTTTTGATGACCCACTCGGATTAATAACATGAGCTGCGGGCCCCATTAAACCGTTTTTGTTTGAATCGGCGATAGCCCGGATTATCCGGGGGGGAACCCTAAAATAAGAGTCTCCATAGGGATGAGGTTCCCGCCTGAGACTTCCTCGAACTTCACTCACAGACGAAGCTCTCGCCTGAGACTTCCGCCGTACTCAAGCTTGAAGAGGCAAAAAGTGACGACAGGTACAAGGTTCCGATGACCCGCTCGGATTACTCACATGATCTGCGGGCCCCATAGGGAGGGGGCTCCCGCCTGAGACTTCCTCACAATTCACTCCCAGACGAAGCTCCCGCCTGAGATGAGTGAGTAAGTGAGTGAATGAGTGAAACAAGATGGTGATGATGATGATGATGATGATGATGATGATGATGATGCTGATACTGATGATGATGACGATGGTGATGCTGATGATGAGTGTGAGTGAGTGAGTGGGCGGGTCAGTGTGTGAGTGGATGGGTGAGTGCGTGGATGGATGATGATGATGATGCTGCTGCTGCCGATGATGATGATGGTGATGATGATGATGATGATGATGATGATGATGATGATGATGAGCGAGCCACGGCGTTACCTGAAGGTGTGCCCGATAATCAATTCTCATGCTGGAGGCCGGCTGTGCACGGCTGTGCAAATAAGATGATGATGAGGATGATGATGCTGCTGCTGCTGATGATGATGGTGATGGTGATGGTGATGGTGATGGTGATGATGATGATGATGATGATGATGATGATGATGATGATGATGATGAGTGTGTGTGTGTGTGTGATTGGGTGAGTGAGTGGGTGAGTGTGTGTGTGTGGCTGAGTGAGTGGGTGAGTGGGTGCGAGTGAGTGAGTGAGTGGTGTGTGTGAGGGCTTGAGTGAACGAGTGTGCGATAGGAGAAGTGGACAGGGTGTACTCTCTTGTTCCTGCGCGGGGTGTCTAGAGAAAGCAAGAAGCCCACTTTGGGTGCGGGGAAAACGACCACCCGTCGTTGCCCCCGAGTCGCCACGCAGGGCGACAACAGCCCGCTCGAGGCGGGCGACGCGGCGCTGCAGCTGCGACGCAGGCCCGCGCGCACCCGGCTGGGGGTTGCCGCCGTGCAGGGGGCCCAGCAGGCGGTGCTTCACCATGGCGGGGCACGGTCTAAATCGAGAGGGCGTGGAGCAGGACGGAATCACAAAGACGTGCAGAACTCCCGCGGCCTGCTACCAAACTGCACCAACAACACACTGCGTAAGCCTAGACTTCGGATGTCCGCGCGGATTGTTCGGACCGACGCTGGACCCCCCTCCTCCTCCTCCGTCTCCTCCTCTTCCTCCTCCATTCCCGTTCCTTATAAATAACTTCTCCCTGTCGCACCCTGAGGCCCGTTTTTAGGGCGGACCGGGTCTTTCGCCCGGGACTTCCTCATCGTTTATGACTCTGAGGCTTAAAAAGTGGCCACAGGTTCAGACGGAGAGTTGGTGGCTTCCAGAATGTGGTTCTCGCTTGAGCGCCGCGCACATTCGTTTTGAACATGTGAAACAGCCTGTCAAAAGCTTCACGGATTGAGGAAGTGGTTTTCAAAATGTGGCTCTCGCCTCAGCGCCGCGCACATTCGTTCTAAACATTGGCAAGAGCTTCACGGATGGAGGCCGGGTCGTTCTCAAAATGTGGCTCTCGCCTTAGCGCCACGTACATTCGTACAACACATTGCAAGAGTTTGACGGATTGAGGGCGTTTCCTTTTCAAAATGTAGCTCTCGCCGTAGCGCCGCGCATATTCGTTTCAACCATTTGGAAGAGTTTCTCGGATTCCCCTGATCAGTGTACCAGGAATAATGTTTCGGACAGATTCGCGATTATGCGGGTGCAACAAACGGTTGTCTTCCAACAAGGCAGGTCCCTCAATGGAAATGAACCTTTGTAGGGGCCTGTGACGAGGAAGCTCGGAGGGAGGGTTAATGCCAACATCGTGGAAGATCTTGGGTTTACACTGGTCCTCCTCCTCCTCCTCCTCCTCCTCCTCCTCCTCCTCCTCCTCCTCCTCCTCCTCCTCCTCCTCCTCCTCCTCCTCCTCCTCCTCCTCCTCCTCCCCCCCGCGCCACGGGCGGCGCTGGAGTCGCCGCCAGGGGGGACGAGACGGCGACCCACGAAGCCCGCGCGAGGCTCCGAGACTCCCGCCCGCCCAGGGGACTCGGAGCGCTTCCTCTCCTCGGGGGGGAACGGCAAGGGGGGCATAGCAGAGGGCAGGGTAGAGAATCAGCTCACGGAGCTGATTTTCCCAGCGCCTCCCGGCGCCGGGAGGCGCCCAGGTATCGAGGAATGGGCCCGGCGACGGGGCCGAAGCCAGCTGCACGCAGCAGATCTCGTGACCCCCCCTTCCCCCATCCCCCCCTTCGTTCGGCCCGATCTTCCAGCCCCCCCCCCGTCTTCCTCTTCGGGGTGGGGCTCGTCGCCGATGCCTGGAAAGGAGCACCCCTCCTCTTAGCGGCCGGCAGCCAACCAGGACCCATGCCGACGCCCACCCTCACAATCCCTGCCCCGAACAACCAAACAACATGCCCTGTGCCTCCAAACCCGCCGGCCCTGTCGGCGTGTGCGAGGGGTCTGTCTGTTCGTCGTCTCCGTCGTCCCCTTTCCCTGCACCCTCCTCCTCAAGCCTGCCAGCGAGAGAAAAAACTAGCAATGTCGTATTCGAATCGAAAGGATGCCCTTCCCTTCGATCCCTCCCGCGTCGGGGCGGAGGGGGGTTCTGGGGGGGTCCCAAGTCAGATGCGCATCTCCCAGGAGGGGGTCCCGGGTCAGATACGCATCCCCCCCCCAGGGGTCCGGGGGCAGCAACAAATACCAAGACAGGCCAAGAGTGGCCCAATAGGTCCTTGAGACGGTCCAAGAGGGCTCCCAGTCGCCAAACGATCGGTCCCAAAAGCTTTGACTCTGGCTTCCCAGGAGAAATCCAAGACGCTCCAACAGGCTTCCAATAGCACTCCCGAAAGGGCCCCAAGGAGCAACATTCATGGATGTTCCTTCAATGTTTGAAAAATTTGGCTGTGCTCGCCTTCTCCGCTTCCCGCCGCTCCAAGACGACCGAAGAGGCCCCGAAGCCCAAGAGGCCTCAAAAATGACCCCGATCCCACGACAACCGAAAGTACCTCCAAGGCGGCACCAGAAGCCCCCAAGACGGCTCCAAGAGCGTGCCCAGACGGGGCACCCGAACGGACATTTCGAGCCCTTGGCCCCGAGAGGCTCCCATGAGGCCCCAAGAGGTCCCCAAGAGGCCCCAAGAGATCCATAAGAGGTCCCCAGGAAGCCCGACAAGGCCCCCAAGAGGCTCCCAAGAGGCCCTAAGAGAGTCAAAAGAGGCCCTATCAATTCCTTCCCAGAGGCCCCCGAGAGCCTTCCGCGGAAACCCCAAGATGCATCCTTGAGGACTCTGGTCCACGTCAGCGTCGTCGTCGTCGCCGCCACCGTTGTCGTCGTCTTCGTCGTCGTCGTATCCCTTCAGGGTCGGTGGCACCGGCCGTAAGGCCTTCGCAGTCTGGAGCATGCGCGGGCGCCCGGCGACCACTACGCATGGGTTTTCGACAGGGACGGCGGTTGTGCCCTCAGACTGCTTGCTGCGCAAATACAATGAAACAAACAGCCCTGACAAACCAACACTACGACATACACGTTGCCTCAAAATCTGGAGCAAGCGTGGGCGCCCAGCGATCACTTTGCATTGGCTTTCTACATGGATGGCGGTTCTGCCCTCATTTTGCTTGCTGCGCGCAAGATCACCATCCCTGACAACAGAACACACTACAACATACACGTCGCCTCCAAATCTGGAGCATGCGCGGGCGCTCCGCGACCACTGCATCATGGGATATGACAGGGGCGTCGGGGGTGCCCTCATATTGCTTGCTGCGCGCAGGCCATGAACGCCTTTGAACTCACAATGCAAGATGCACTGTGCATTCAAATCTGGAGCATGCGCAAGCGACCACTTCGATCTGGTTTTGTAAGGGATACTCGATACTCGGGTGTTACTTATGTTTTGTTTGCCTTGTGAGCAAGATGTGTCTTGTGAGCAGGATGTGTCTTGACCCCTCCCCTTAACCCGTCTCCTGGACCTGGACGGGGCGCCCCGCGACCCATTGGAGCGTCCAAGAAGGTCTCGGCGAGAAGGCAACAATCATTGATATTGCTTAGGTGTTGAGTCAATTCTGGCCTCTTGGAGAGACCCTACTACTATACCCCCCGTCTTTGATCGATCTCCTCCAAGATGGCTCCAAGATGGCCATCAATGCTCCCAATCATGCCAGGAGAGGGCCCTAAGAGGCGCCCAAGTGGCACCCAAGAGGCCCCACGATGTCCCCAAGAGGTCCCCAAGCAATGCGCTTCAAGAGGCCACCCGGACTGCCAAGGAGGCCCTCAAGACACCCCAAGAGACTCCAAGAAGCTCTCTAGAGACATCCGAAGAGATATCCCAGAGGCCTGTCGCCTTTCCGTTCGCCCTCCCCCTCGTTTTTCCACCTATTCATCCTCCTCCCTCCTCCCATTCTCGCCCTGCCCCTCTCCTCCTCCGATTCCTCCTCCACCCTTCCCTTCTTGTTGTATGACGGCTTCCCCAACCCATGCTTCCACTGCAACCTCCTCCGCATCCCTGATCAGGACAACTCGCCTGGGTATGGTTTCTGGATGGGCTGGTCGGGTTACTTTTTTGATCGCGAGTGACACGGAGCCAACCGCGCACCGTCGAGAAGGTCGAAAGCAAGACGCGAGCCGAGCAGCCTCAAGTGGGACGCTGGAAAAGGGCAACGAGAGGACAACTACGCGGCGGGAAAGGAAAACGAAGCTCTGGGGTTACGCGAAGCGTTCAGAATTTGTGCATGCCTTGGTTTGTTCCTCGACGATAGCCATGATGCAAGCGGGTCCCGAAGGAATCGGATCCTGCACCCTGGAGCTTTCCCGCAAATCCAATTTTCGGTCCCGAGTCGAGGACCCCAGGAGGCGAAACACCCTATACGTCGCTGCGCGGCTGAAGCAATCCGCACGCGCGCTCGGGCAAGCCGGATGGCGGCATTGCGAGTTGCATGGATACCCAGGAAGCTAAACACGGCGAAGAATCTCAGGGCCCGTCACCCTCAAGATCCGCCTGCCTCGTGGTGGAGCATGCAGGACGAGGGGGCTCCGTTACACGGTTTTCCCCCGGGCAGTAAGCGACCCGACGAGGGGAGGGCGATGAGGGGGAGGAGGGGGAGGGGGAGGGAAAGGGGGAGGAGGAGGAAAGGGAGGAGGAGGAGGAGGAGGAGGAGGAGGAGGAGGAGGAGGAGGAGAAGTAGGGGAGGGAGGAGGAGGAGGAGGAGGAGGAGGGAGGAGGAGGAGGAGGAGGAGGAGGGGGAGGAGGAGGAGGAGGAGGAGGAGGAGGAGGAGGAGGAGGAGGAGGAGGAGGAGGAGGAGGAGAGGAGGAGGAGGAGGAGGAGGAGGAGGAGGAGGGGGGGGAGGAGGAGGAGGAGGATGAGTAGGAGGAGGAGGAGGGAGGAGGAGGAGGAGGAGGAGGAGGAGAGGAGGAGGGAGAAGTAGGGGGAGGGTGAGTGGGAGGAGGAGAAGGAGGAGGAGGAGGAGGAGGAGGAGGAGGAGGAGAAGAGAGGAGGAGGAGGAGAAGGAGGAGAGAGGAGGAGACACGGGTCGCCTAAGCCCGGCGGAGAAACCCTCCAGGCTCCGTGCAGTAGTTCTGGTCCAGGATGAGGCCGAGAAGGAAGGCTGTCTCACCGAGAATCCGAGCTGAGGCAGCTTGGGCCAAATGCTGTAGAGCAAGCCTGTGGCCTGGGCGTCCGCTGACGGAGGGGACATGAACGGGGGCGGAAGCAACGCGCACCTGTCCAGCACCTCTTGGGCGAGAATTCCGGGGGCGTTGAGCGCCACTGTCATGCAATGCTCGATGCTCTTATATAGTTGTTTCCCCCCTACCGATCGCCTAAATTAGAGGACGAAGGAGCCGTATAAAGTAGACCTTCAGCTCACTGTGCGGACTTCTTGGATCGGCGGTGGAGTGCGCAAGGGGCGGCGATGGAGGCGCCGCCAGAGACGCCAAACAAAGATCCGAGAAGTCCGCGCGGAGCTTCGAACATTATGTAGGGGACGCACTGCCACGGGTCAATGCAAACCTGGACCAGTCGGGCTTTGCAGTGTCCTAGAAGATCCTGCAGGATTCTGCACGAGAGCCTGGGTTAGTGGTTGATGAGCAACCAAAGGGTGGGACTGGCATAGGGGGGGATGCATTGACCTGGAATCGGCGATACATCGCCGATAGATCGGCGACAGGCCACCGATAGTGAGACCGCACCTTCCTGGGCGGGGCGAAAAATGGGCGACCAGACCCTATCGGCCAGAAATGGGCGATCAAAGGTCGATGCATCCCCCTATGCCCATCCCCCCCACTATCGTTGCCCCGAATTGTTGCTCGACACGATCGGCAGCAGCCTGGCGCGTGAGCCCCTCCCAACAAAGCGCCCTGCTGTGTCGAAAAAATGTTCCCGGGCGCGCGAGACGGTTGATTAGGTTTCGGCGATACCCCGGGTAGGGGGCCACATGCGAACCCTACCCTACCCCCCACGATTTCTGAGGGGGAGGGTGGGGTTCGCATGTGGCCCCCTACCAAAGGTATCCGCTGAGGGGGGGAGGTGCCGACCGATGACCTAACGTCGAGGAGACGTAAGTCCCGGGTTCGGGGGACTCGTGTTGGCCTGGTGGGGCCATCATGAAAATGGCGCCGGAATCCGGCGTACTCGAGTCTTACGTTTCCCCGATAACGGCATGCCCCCGATATTCAACCCCAGGGGATCACAAAATTTGGAGTTCTGGGGGATGGTAAACGATTTCCAAGGCAAATCGCAAATAGGTCGAGCATGTCATCCTACAGGCGGATTTTGAAAGAACAAATATGCGACAACACTGCTCAAGTACAATCAAAAACAATTACAACATCGTCCTCCTATTATTGTTTGACGACATAGTTTTGATTATTCCCCCTGTAAAGGGACATGCCCGACTTAGAATTGGTATGGCTCTGATACCGTGCTCGCTCTGGCGGGGCCTTGCTGGCGCTCTGGCGAGACTTCCCTGGCAGGGAACCTCAGAAACGGACGATGTCAATGATTGGTACTTGGGTTTATGAAATTATTCGTCGCTGCCCCCCACCGAAGAACAGAAGTGCTCGCGCTCGGGATCATCACGACAGAACAATGAGAAAGGGGCGAGTAGGCTTTAGTTACTATCTGGGGCATGCCGTTGAGCTTTTCGTTTTGGGCAGAATCACCAGTGGCCGCAGGTGAGCGCCGCGTGGGAAGTCTGCAGTGACTACGGTACGTCAAATAGCATCCGATTCCATGGGAAGCGGATGGCAGATAGCGTCCAATGCCATGCTGGATAATATCGATGTAATGATCTTTCCAGCACATGGCGAACACCAGCAGTGCCCGGGCAAATAGGGCGCGCGTGCCTTGAGCCAAAGGCAACGGCGCGCGAGCTATACTCCCGATCCTATATAACATCTCCCAAAGAGCTACCCTTAAAGTCGGGAGGGAAAGAGACAGTGAGTATAGCCGCGCAGCCGTTAGGCTCCACAAAGGCCGCGCGCACGACTGTTTGCAAGAGAAACAGTACGTACAGTCTGGCCTAACACCAGACTGTAAGGCGAGTTTCCTCGCAAAGCATTTTCACGCATACGCAAGATAGCCCTATGGACATCAAAGGCTATCGGCCCGGCTAGAGGCAAGCCAAACAGGCTATACCTCTCCGAGCAAAAGGGTATTAAAGCAAAGAGCCTGGATCAATCTGAACAGGCTCGTTGCCAAGCGTGAAAAGTAAGGCTCGTTTCCGAGCAACTCGGAGGGCGCTTCTGTATTCGGCGCCCGTGCTGGCAGACTGGGCCGCGGGGGCAACAAGGACAGACTAAAACTGATTTGACTTGGGCTTGTTTCTGTCCTCAGGACCCCGAAAGGGAACAAACTGCTTCACGTCATACTTAAATGACTGAGTGCCTGACATCACCTCCAAAAGCAGCTCCCGATCGATACTCCCCTTTGTATGCCCATCTGCGCTCATGTCTCTAGTATCACACCACTGTACGTTGTGCACTATACCTATATCCATGAGCTCACGTTTCCAGCGGATACGTCCCAGTAAAGTCCGTTCCGTCGTTATCTTGAGATCTTTGCTGGATAGCGATTTGTATACAGACTCAGCGTCTATAGTAAGGGATACTTTAATGGCTAGGCCTCCAACTTCACGCAAATCACGTAGTTGTCGTGGAGTAAGTGCCCCTGCCTTGAGCTCGTGGTGTGTGATGAGCGTGGGGTAGCATTCATCAAGGTTGTGTGCAGCTGCAAGTGCCTCAGCGGCATAGCTGGACCTCACCTGCAATCGGTGTGATTTGCATAGTCCGTCGCAAAGGTGGATGACGGATTTGCCTTGAGGCGAGTTTCCTCGCCGTAATACGTTAGCCCCACGGATGCCGTAGCCCCTGGTCTCATCGTCTTCCTCCCCGGTGAGCTTCCGATACCCCGAATCACTGTGTACGTCTACTTCGCTCGTCGGTTTCATCCGAGGGAAGGTGATGCGTTTCGGGCTGCTGATTAGCTTTCGCGTCACAGCATTGAGTCGTCTGACTTGTAAGTTGGCGGGCTCTTGGATCTTTTGGAGAGAGACCACATGCACCATAAGCCAGACTTGAGTAAGAAGGGCATAGGCGAGAGCTCCTCGCAGGCTAACGAACATGTCGGCGATGAGTTTGGTAGCTTTGGCGTCAGCCGCCGCTCCCGTAAGTTCAGGGTGTGTGATAGGACGTAGTTGTTTAATGTACTCGTCCTGATCCATGATCACATCCCCTGGTTCATTCTTGGTGTAGCGAACGGCGCAGTTCGTATGATAATGTTTGTTGAGCTTGCATGTACCAAACACCTTTTCGACGCGTTGTACATAGTCATCTACGTTTTTCTATAGGCCTGTCATGTTGATATCGTCGACATGTTTTGCCGTTAACAGATCTTGACCGAATGCAAACTCAGGATCGTAACTTGTCGGTGTGAGGCCTACAGCTCGCGTGGTCGTACGAAGCTTGAGGGGGAGCGCTCTCGGGGCGTCCTTTGTACCCGCTCCTGGCTTGAGGCACCTGAGGCAGTGTCGGCTTTCATCGTAAGAAGAAAAGCCTGGTAGTGTACGAAGCACCTGGGCGCCTCCTGGTGGAAGAGCGAAGCAAACCATGCGAGTTTCCTCGCCGGTGGCATGAGCAAGTTCCTCATAGGTCAGACCTTTGAGGAACGCTTTGTCGATATCCATAGATGCTAAGATCCATTCTGGATGACATGCCGCCTCACTTGCCAGGAGCCTCTGGGACTGTCTTCGAGCAGTTCCTGAGAAGGTTTCTACATCAAACGCCTCCGCGTCCATGAATCCGCGAAGGACAAGTCTGAGACGGATGGTTTTAACATTCCCGGTGCCTACCTTCACAAACTTCCACTTGTATACATATCTGGATGTCATGATGTTGGAAGCTTTCGATAGGTCATGCATCTCGGAGCACCGGTTATCAAGCCAGATCTTGAGTTCGGTGTACAAAGCTTCACTAACCTCTTTAGGGTGTGCTGCTATATCGGCTTTGGTGAGTAGGTCGTCTTCCTTGACTACCACGGCGCGAGTAGCAGCTGATGATACATATACTCTCATCGTTGCGACCACGTCAGTTTCAAGCTGTGCAAGTTGGGTCTGATCCAACACTACCATTGACATTTCTGGTGTGAAACATAACTCAACATAAGGACCATGTTCATCACTGTCAAGAGAATAGCCCGCGTCAGGTGTAGTCGAGCATAGAGGGATAAGACAGGGCTCTTGTGGTTCAGGCTCGTCTCCGAGCGTTTCCGACACTATGATATCTTCCTCGTCCACGGATGCTGAGACCAGAACACATTGGTCGGGCAGCATAGTTGTTGGGACGCAGTAGAGATGATCGTCGGTAACCGTTGTGGGATGAAGGTCCATACGTAGTTCATCGTACCACTCTTCCATCATCATAGCCTCGATGTCATGTTCCTCGCTTTCTTCGTAGATTGTAGATAGGCGACCTTCACTTGGTGATGAAGCACCTGGGGTGTCTGGTGGAGGCCTGTCTCCAGGCTGGTCATGTTCTCCAGGTGTTGTGCCCAAGTGATGATACTTAGCAAGGTCGTCATGAAATCCTAGGGAAGGAACATGTGACGTCAAGCACTGGATGAGTCTGGAATGAGTGCTACCAGTGATTTAAGAGATGTTCAGGCCGGTGCCCACACACTCATAATAGTGGAAAGCTGGGTTGACGTCGTTGTCGTAGTGGGTCAGTGTAGACCCGGTGGCGTACTTAACTGCAAGTAGACTAGACACGTTCTTGGCCAGTCTCACGGCTACTACACGTTTAACTCGGAAATAATTTCGCACGAGATACTGCAGTGCAAGATGTACGCGCGGGTGGAACTTGCTGTCGTCCGACAGATTGAGGTTTCCCTTGTAGTCTGGAATATAGCCAGAAGACGTTGGCAGGTCTCCCTGCACCAAGGTGTGCCACATATGTAAGGACGGTTTGCATGGCCATGTTGTCCATGCCAAGTTCCCTGGCAAGGAGGCATTCAATGTATAGCGTGTGGCGAGCATCAGGGTACATTACAATTACCTCACGTGATCCTGCCTTGACGACGACGTGTCCTCGTTCAGGCACGTCACAGATCACAGGAAACGGGCCATTCCAGCCTCCATGGTCGTCCTTAGTGGCTGTA